GGCGCGGCGGCGGCAGCGGCGGCGGCGGAGGGCGGGAGGCGAGGGGGGGCGGACGGAACGCGACTCAGGCGGCGCCACTGCGCAGGCGCGAAGCCTCGCTTCGCCCGGTCTGGCTCCACCCTTTTCCCCGCCTGGCTCCGCCCGCTTTTCCCGCCTGGCTCGGCCCCTTTCTCGCGCAGGCGCGTGGCTGCCGTCACGTTCCAGGGCGGGAGTAGGGCGGGGTTGGGGGGGGTAGCGCGCGGACGCCGGTGACGTAACGACGTAGGGCGGGGAGCCCGCGAGCGCCGGCAGGGGGCGCCCTGCGAGCGGCGCGCGGGGGAGCAGGGGGCGTGGTTTCTCCGCGTGACATCACCCAGACGGAGGCCACGCCTCTTAAAGCGGCAGCGCCCTCCCTTTAGGGGAGCACGGGGCCTCGAGGTGTCATGGGGTTCCTAGGGGAGTGGGGGTGCAACCCAATGGGGGCTGCCCGGCCCCGCTGAAGAAGACGCCCATCGCTTCTTCTAAAACACCAGTTTTTTTTATTAATGAAACAACCAAAAGATGGGGAGGGGGGCGGTGTCCCCTCCAGACCGGGGGCCGGGGTCACCAGCCCGGGCGGGACGCGGCGGTGGGGTGGGGGGGCATAGCCATGCCCGGTGCCCCTGCCCACCCCGTCACCCCCGGGACGCGCGGCGGAGGACGCGCCGGTGGCGGAGGGGACCACCCCGGGAGGGCGAAGCAAGCGGGGGGCCGGGAGCACACGCAGCATGCTGGGGGGCACGGGGGGGACACGTCCCTGCGTGGCGGCGGTGGGAGACACGGGGGTGCGGGGGGACCAGCCCTTTGCTGGGAGCGGCGAGGGGGAGCGAGGGTGGGGGGGCACCCACATGGTACCCACATGGCCACCCAAGCCTCTCGCCCACCCCCTGGGGCTTTATGCCCTCCCCGCTGCAGCCCCGGGGAGCCCTGTCCTTACCTGGGGGTCCCCACAGCGCTGCTCCCCCTGCCTGGGTCCCTCCTCCATCGCGGGGGCTGGGGGGGCTGCTGTGCCCCTGCGGGGGGGGGTCCGGGGGAAGGGTGGAGCCCGGGGGGGCAGAATGGGAGGCGGGGACTCAGGGGGTGGGGAGGCAGGATGGGGTCCAGGGACCCCCACTGGCTCAGCCCCCCATGAGCCCGGTGTGGGGGGCTGGGTGACAGTGGGGCTCGGACAGACCCCACAGGGGTCTGAGTGGGCTGGGGGTGGCAGGGGGGTGGCCGGTGCCCAGGTGGGTCCCGCCAAGCGCTCGGCTTGAGTCTCCTTGGGAGAGGTGTTCCCGGCCCGTGCCGGGGGCCGGTGGGCACGGGGGGGCCCGGGAGGGGTGGCTGCGGTGCCCAGCTCCACACTGCCCACGCCTAGATGGACACCTCATACTCCCTCGTGTCCTGCAAAGAAAACAGACTGCAAGGGGTTGGACACTCGGCAGCGTGACGGGGTGCCTTGGGCGGGGACAGGGCATCTCCCACCCCGTAGAGACCTGGGGCACATCCCAGACGACAGATGACCCTGGGGATGCAGGTACCATCCCATGTGTGGTCCCTGGACAGATACTCAATCCCGTGTGTAGTTCCTGGATGGATGTCCAATCTAATGCATAGTCCCAGGGATGAATATTCCAGCTCATGTGCTGTACATGGTCCCTTGATGGATATCCCAGTTGGATATCCCAGACTGATGTGTGGTGCCTAGATGGATGTCCCGTTCTGTGAACAGCCCCTGGATAGGCATTCCATCCCATGTGTTGTCCCTGTGCATGGTCCCTGAACGGACATCCCAGCTGATGTGTGGTCTCTGGATGCATGTCCCACCCCATGTGTGGTTCCTAGATTGATGTCCATCCCGGGATGGTCCTGGGATGGTTGTCCCATCCCATGTGTGGTCCCTGGATGGATGTCCTATCTAATGCACTGTCCCTGGAACACAAGACCCAATCCCACACCTGCCCCATCCCATGCACAACCCCTGGTCCAGGTGCCCGTGAGATGTGGGGTCTCTGGGGTGCCCAGCCCCAGTTGAGGGGTCTGGGGGCCAGTACTTACTCCTGTCTCATAGGTGGGATTGTCGAAAGCTGACTCCACGGTGATATGGTCGTAGGGGTGGGAGCCAGCGAGGGGCAGCTGCAGGGCCGGCTTCCCCTGGAGCCTGTGGGGAGAGAGGGCAGCTAGGGCAGGCAGAAGAGGGGCTGTGAGTACCCCACGGGGAGACAGGGGCCAATGGGCCACTCACTTGGAGAAGTAGAGATAAATGCCCCCGATGAGCAGGGCCACCACCAGCACGGGCAGGAAGACAGCGATGGCAACGTTGGTGCCCTCCAGCGCCGTCCCTGAGGGCACGGCCTTGGCTACGGCTGTGCGGGAAAGTTGGGGGCTCACTGAGGGGACACCCCACAACGGCTGCACCCTGGGTGCCCCTCTGCACCCCGGCACCCCAACACCCCCTTGCTCTTACCATCAAGGTTGCGGTTGCTGTAAAACTCATCATAAGAGGCTGCAGAGGGTGAAAGAAAGAAAGAAAGAAAGGGTGGAGTGAGAAGTGGGATGCCAAGCAGTGCCAGCAGGGTGCTGGGGTGTGTGGGGGGGTTCTCTCACCCGCCTTGCAGATGGGAGGGGGGCCGCTCCAGCGCGAGGGGTGCCCGGGCAGGCAGCGCAGGCTGCCCTCGCCCAGCAGCGCCCGGCCAGCGGTGCAGGAGAAGTGTAAGGTGGCTCCTGCCGGGTACAGCCGCCGCTCTGGGTTCTGCCTCCCGCCCGCCGGCACACCGGGGTTGTGGCAGGGCTCGTATGTCTCTGCTGCAGGGCAGTGGCATGGTGGCATCAGCACTCGCCATCAGCTTGAGTGACATGCCCGGGGAGGGGGTACCCAACTCACGGATGCACTTGGGGAGGCGGTCGCTCCACTTGGGCCCCCCCGCGGCGCGGTCATGGCAGGTGAGAGTCCCAGCACCCGCCAGGACATAGCCTTTGTCACAGACGTACTGCACGGTGGCTCCCACAGGGAATTTAGGGTTGGAGACCACTCTGCGGCTGTGCTCGGCATCCCCAGGGTCCCGGCAGGTTGTCACTGCAGTAGGGATTGACCAATGGTGATGGTGGCTGGGGACACGCCACAGGGCAGGGGGACACTGGTGGGCAACACTCACCCCGCTCACAGGAGGGCAGGTCGCCGCTCCACGTCAGGTCCCAGTGGCACATCAGGAGGTCAGTGCCGGTCAGCTGGAAGCCGGGGTAGCAATGGAAGGTGACCACAGTGCCATGGAGAAGCTCCGGCTGCGAGGACGTCTTCCAGCCATTGGCGATTTCTGGCAGCTCAGGGCAGGTGTCGTTGCGGGGGACCTCTGTGGGGATAGAGGGGTGAGCAGGGCAGTGGGGACAGCAGGGACACTCATGACGCTGTCCTGCCAGTGGGGCTCACCGGAAAAGTGGATGACAAAGCCCTGTCGATAGGCGAAGGGGCCGGCACCGGGGTCAGACTGGAACTGGACAGTGACATCAGCGGTGGAGGCGTAAAGCTTGAAGCGTCCGCGGGCACCCGTGTACTGGCCCAGGATTCGCGCCGTCAGGTCGTCCCCATCATAGAAGGTCAGCATGTCCCCCGAGCCGAGCCGCAGCCTGGGGCATTGGGGCCATGAGGGCGGGAGGTGCATGGACCCCCCATCCCACCATCCCCATCCCGGGCCATCCCCACACTCACACGCGGACATCCAGCATGATGCGCTTGTCCTCCTCCACGTGCAGCCCCCAGATGCAGTCCTGGCCCTTGCCATACGCCTCTGGCCAGTTGGGTGACAGCACCACACCAGCTGTGTCTGTCAGCTCCCCGCTGCACACCGCTGTGGGCAGACACCAGGCTCGGCACTGCCGCGGGGCACCCACCACAGCACCCTCCACCCAGTGCCCAGGGCCTAATCCAGCACCTAGCATCCCCACTGGCTCCAGCTCAAGCACGCACCATGACATGGCCATTCCAGGACCCATTGTAGCTCATCCCTGTCTTCAGCACCCACTCCAGGATCCCAGCTCCAGCACCCACCATTCCCATCGTCTCCAACTCCCACCATGTCCCTCAGCTCCAGTACACACAACAACACGGTGGCTCCAGCATCTCTCATGTCCCATCCTCAGCTCCAGTGTCCGCAGCAACCCCCAGCATCTGTGGCACCCTCCAGCCCCGGCACCCACCAAACCCCCAGTTTCAGCCCCCCTGACTCCCCAGTCCTGGCACCCACCACGGCAAGCTGGTTCTGTCTCATTCCACTGGGGGTCACTGGGGTCGACGCACTCGATGATGGTGGAGCCCTGCTCCAGCGTGTAGCCAGGGTCACAGCTGAACTCCACTGTGGTGCCCACGGGGTACCGGGGGTCGCTGGCCGTGAAGTTCCCATACTTGACGAAGGGCTCATAGCAATGCCCCTGCTCGAAGGCTGTGGGCACAGGAGCAAAGGTCTGCAGGGGCCAGGCAGGCACAGGGATGTTTGGGTGCCCCCCTACATCCCAGTCCCGTACCCTCATAGCGCAGTGCCATGCCCGCAGCGGCCCCGCTGCTGTCGGTGGTGAGCTCCACGAAGAAGTGGCGCCCGGTGCTGAGCAGCCCCTCGATGGGCAGGTACTCCACCTCGTAGGAGTCGTACACTGGTGGTGCCTCCACGTTGTTGCCATTGCGGATGATGAGCCTGCCAAGGCATGATGGGGGCAGGGTGCTGTGGTGGCCGTGGCCAACAGCACCATCCTTGGGCATGATGAGTAGCACCCACCCTTGGGCATGGCCAGTGGTATCTTCCTTGAATGTGGCCAACAGCACCCGTCCTTGACTGTGGCCAATGGCCAACAGTGGCCACACTTGGCCAACTACAGCCATCCTTGAATATGACCTGGCCGTGGCTGATGGATTCCATCCTGGGATATGGTCAGTGATACCCATCCACAGGCATGACCAGCATCCCCCATCCTTGAATATGGCCAACAACACTCATCCTTGAACACAGCCCTGTGCGGGTCTGCCCCGGAGTGCCCCCACCCCTCAAGGCCCCCAACTCTAGGGCCAAACCTGTCATCGTCCTCTGCCAGCGACACCTTCTCAAAGTGGAGGTGCAGGCGGTGGCCATCAGGCGCCTCCAGTAGCCAGTGGCACGTCAGGTTGTTGCTGTAGTTCCCAGGGAAGCCGGGCGAGACGATGCGTCCCACTGTGGCATTCCGGACCACCCCACCGCACGCGGCTGTGAGAGAGGGACCATCAGTGGCCGACTGTGCCATGCCGGCTGCGCTGTATCCCCACGGTGCCGGTGCTTACCGAGGCAGAGGGGCTCACGGGCACTCCAGAAGGGGCGGGTGGCGTTGCGGCAGAGCAGCCGGCGGGCACCCTGCAGCTGGTACCCCGTGGTGCAGCGGAAGCGGGCATCCCCACCGGGGTGCAGGCTGCTGACGGAGACCTCCCCGAAAGCCGGCCGTGCCGGGAAGGGGCAGCTCAGCAGGTAGGCTGGGGGCAGGTGGTGATGTTACCAAGGGCAGGGGGGCAACATACCCCTCCAGATCCCAGCACCCGCCTCCCCAGCCCCCCCCAAAATGCCTGAGTGCTGCAGGACTGGGTGACATGGTGCTATGGCTGCCAGGAATTATGCCAAATGAGCCTGTAATTGCTCACACCAATTAACTCTCCATGAGCGTTCTTCACCCGGTCAGTGCCCCCTTAAACCTGCCAGCGGCACAGATAAACTCATGGTGCGTGACCACACTCCAAGTTAGTGCCATGTCGGTAGGGAAGGCCCCCAGGGGGTGCAGGGGAGTCTGTGTTCCTATACCTTGGTAGTGAAAGTGGTAGGATCCAGGGCTGGGGGGCCGGGGACTCTGGAAGCGGAGGGTGAGGAGGTTGGCTGGGCTGCGGATGACCTGGCCCCGCAACAGGAAGGACTCATTGGCCAGGAGGATGGGCTCCAGGCCCCCTGCACTCTCCACTGTCAGCGTCTCCCCCTCTGCCAGGCTGATGTTCTCCACCTGCAGGGGACACAAGTGTCACCACCACAGCATCACCCCGCATCCAGCTCGGAGCTCGTCCTTGAGTGGCTTCTCCATGGTCGATAGCGCACTGGAGCTTGTCTGCACGGGGCAGCACCTTTCAAACATGGTTAGCAGCACCATAAATCATCCCCCATGCCAAGAGAGGCTGGGACCAGCCAGCGGCCCTGCCGGAGCACCATGACACAGCCAGACCCGCGCCGACAGCCTTGTCCACAGCCAGGTGTGCGTGTGTTCCAACCCCTCAGAGCAATTTGCTATTAATGATCTTAATTAAGCTGTGCTGCATGGTGAGGAGCAGCAGCACCGGTGAGTGTGGGCTGGAGTGAGGCTGATGGTGGAGATGCTGTCTTTGGCTCACCACCAGCTTTCAGCAAGCCATGTGGCTTTCAGCAAGCCACAGCACCTTCAGCAGCGGCTCCAGCAGAGACAGGAACACATGGCCACGTGCCACTGACGGCAGTAGCATGTGCCCTCAGCACAGCAGGATTTGCTGTCAGCCTCTGCTCCTGGCAGATGGGCTCTGGGTGTTCCTGGCTCTGCACCACAGCACGGCACCTGCCAGCATTGCTTACACCTTCTCCATCAGGGCTTCGTTAATTAAATCTCACAACACTTCTTTGTGATGGGTGCCAGCCATGGCAGCTGGTGGGCACGGAGCATCTTGGGGCATCCCATCAACTCATGCACCCACATTTCTGCGCTGGAGCCTGAGGATAGGCAATGCCCTGAGCCACTCTGCTGGCTTAGGGACACAGGAATGGGAACAAGGACATAGACAAGACCATGTGCTTGCTGCACCCTGCACAACCACACAGCCAGGGCAGGGAGTAGGGGACATCCCACACTTGTCTGCAGGCACTTGGCACCCTGTCCCACCCACAGCCCTCAGCTCACCTTGAGCTCCACTCCATAGCCAGGGTAAACAGAGATGGTGTAGGTGCAGTCCAGGCTGCCATCATAGGGGGCACCAGCTGGCTCCGGGGACACCAACCAACCCTCAGGACCCGCCAGCGTCCGGTTACAGGGAGCTGGTGACAGACAAGATCCCGGCTCAGTCGCACTTCACCCCAGTTCCCCCCAGCTTCCTCCCCAGTACTCACCTGGCCCCTGCAGCGTGGTGACAGTGGTGGTGGTGATGGTGGAGGTGGTTGTGGTTCCCTCCTCATCCCCAGGCACCACAGCAGCCCCGGTGCGGGGTGGCAGGGATGTGCCAGCAGTGGTGGGTGCCTGGCTGGGGGATGCAGTGCCTGACTCTGACACCCCAGGGGGGGACCACGAGGGGTCAGCATCTGGCACAGCCCCCCATGCCTCCCCCCATGGCCCAGAGCGCCCTGCTGGCGTGGTCAGCGGGTCAGTGGGGAAGGCAGGCCGGGGCAGGGCAGGGGTGTGAGGTGAGGGCTTGGGGGCTGGGGGGCCAGGGGCCGGCTGGAGGGCACCAGAGGGGAGGAGGGGGCCAGCACCAGCGGGCAGGAATGGTGCCTGGGCCAGGTAGTCCTTCTTCAGGAAGGCTTCATGCAGCAGGTCCTCCAGCAGCGGGTGGTGGTTGAGGATCTTCAGCGTGGGCGCCGTGCTCACAAAGTGAGCCTCTGTTTCCCGCTCCGCCGGGGTGGGCAGCACCGTCGGCTCAACCTCAGCGCTCTCCCCAGTCTTCCTTGCCAGCCCGTTGAAGCCTGGAGGGAAGAAAGAACATGGGATGCCGGGAACAGGTGGACTGAAGCTGTACTGGGGACTGACAGGGAACTGGTGGTGAACTAGGAACTAATGCTTCAGCATGGACCAACAGTGTGCTCAATGTGGCACCTGGGACCAACCCTTGGCCATGGACTGATGCTGTGTCAGGTATAGATGCAGCTCTGAGGACAGGTACCTCACTAGGGAGTGATGCTGGGGCAGTACCACAGACCTGTGCTGTGATGGGGACTGATGCTGCACCAGGGTTTAACATTTCCCCACAAACTAATCTTTGACCACAGGCCAGTGCCTCTCTGAGGTTTAATGCTTTCCTGCACACCAATATTCCTTCAAAATCAGGATGGCAAGCAAGTACATCGAGCACATACAGTGGGACCCCGCCAACCTTCTCCCAGCATACCCTTCACTGGGGCAGTCCCAGCAATTAAGCCCTGGCTAATTAATGCACAGCTGCAGCTTGTACCACGTGAAGGGGTGCCCACCCCTGCCATGAGCCAGCTCTTCTGGGGACAGCCCTGGAGTTGGTGTTCCTAGTCACAGATTGTCCTTCTACACAGAGGTGGCCATGCTGTGCCAAGGGCCCCCCAGGACCCCACATCCCTGTGGTGCGGGCACATAGGTGATTAACATGACTGCCATGACCAGGTGCACCAGAAATGTCACTGGAGCCTGGGACCCTGCTCCAGGCCACCAGTGCAATGAGTCTGTGAGAACTCCTCTCCAGCCATGCTGTCTCTGAGCAACGTCAATCTGCAGGGGACCACCTCCACCTATGCTCCCCACCTCCCACCCACAGCCACAGGGATCCCCCCACCACAGCCCCATGTCCCTTCCCAAGCATTAGTCCCTGAGCAAACCCACAGCGTGCCCAGCCCAGCCGCTTACAGGCTTCAGACCAAAAATTAAAAGGGAATTTAATCAGCCGTAATGAGTCACTCAGCATCTCCCGCTCCTGGATCTGGCGCAGCACTGTCCCCTCTCTAGCCAGGCGTTGCTCCCCAGCCCTGCCGTACCACAGCAGGGAGGATGCCACGGTGGCACCCAGCATCCCTCTGAGGCCTGATGCGGGGCACGAGGCCACGGCAGCGCGTGGGCACGTCTCGCTGCCGTGCACAGGCACTGATGACACGATACTGCCAATTACCGGGTAATTATCCCGATCCGTAGCAGGGCAGGGCCCCGTGAAGATTAATTACTCTGCGACTGCTGCTTTTAAGGGACTATTAAGAGACATTATCTTGGGTGTGCAGATTGGTGGGGAGACGCTGGATGCTGGGAGGCATCCTCACCCCCCCCACCACCCACCCTGTGTTCCCACTCCCCCACTGCCATCGCCCTGGGATGGTGATAATGCCCTGGGCACAGCAGGGAAGTGAACACCTGCCCACACTGGTTCTGAAAGGTTCACTTGCCCCCCAGCAAGGCCAGAATTATATTTTAATAGGATCCATTTATTTGAACATAAAAGTTAATGAGTTTATGCTGAAGGGCGCCAAAATCTCCGCTAGGCTTTAATAGCAGATTAGTGCTCAGGGCTGGGCCCTGCGCTGCCACGGCTGCCCCACACAGCGAAGGCAGGGGTAGAGATGTCCATCTCACCTTTCTGGACACCCCTGCCCATGGGCACCTCACCTGCCTGGAGTGCTGGGAGGCACAGTGGTCCCCACTGAGGCTACTGGGTGAGGCCAGACCCCACAGCAAGGATCCTAAAGCAGGTCCCATCCGGATACTGTGCACCCTGGCCTGGGGAGCATGTAGGCACCAGACACTGCCCTGGGCTTCGTGGGTTGCTCTGGGTATCATGAGGTGGTCCTATCACCAGAGAATGCTCAGGACTCAGGATTGTCTTGACCCTTAAGGGATGCAGGATGCTCAGCCCTCTGTGGGAAGGCACTGGATGCCCAGCTGCTGCCACTCATGCCCCGTGAACACCACAGGATTAGAGCCTCCACCTCCACAGATGTCTCTAAGAAGCTTATCTCCAGTGCCACAGCTATGTCCCTCCCACGCCCCCAAGGTGACCAGGGGCCTCTGACATGGGACCAGCTATCCATCAGCCGCCCCTCCGGCCCCTGGCACCCAGCAGGGACCCTCCAGAGCTCAGAGTGGGCACAGACCCTTGCAAAGGGGCTGACAGGTCCCCACTGACCATGTGCCTGCCAGTGTTCCTGGGCACGGCTGCCACGTGCCCATGGTTGCAGCCGGGATGGGGTCCTAATCCCTCACACTGGCTTTGCTGGGCGGGAGTTTATTAACGGCAGCCGGGAGATGCCAGAGACTAATCCGGCTGTGGCGGGCGGCTGCCCCCCCAACGGGAATCGATGCTGCCTGCTGTCACAAATAAATAAATAAGGCAGCACGCGGCCGCCTGGGGAGCACCGATCAATGCTGCCCGCCAAGAAAGCAATAACAGAGTGCCCAGCTCAGGGAGGGGACAGGACAGGGCCCTTGGTGGCCCCAGGAGCATCACAGTGCCATGGCACGGTAGTGTTCCTTGCCTCAGTTTCCCCTTCTGTAGGAGGGGGCAGGCAGGAGGCATCTTGGGCACAGTGGGGAGGGCCTCACAGGATTCCAGGTTTATTTTCCAATTTAAAATCCAATCTGGCTTTACCCCCATGGCCAGGGCCGGCAGCCGTGATTAATGAGCTGTCAGGCAGCCAATGCCACGCTCCCCCACCCACAGCCTCCACGTTCCCTCACCCACAGCCCCCAGCCCCCTGAACTGCTCCCAGATCCCAAAGCAGGCACAGGAAATGGAACGTGCACTGTTGATGCCAGATCCCCATCTGTCCCATCCTGGTGTCTCTGTAGACCCCTAGCAGGAAGCAAGGCTTGCTTTCAATGGGAAGGCAATGTAGGCAGGAGCAGGCAGGGAATACAGGTGGGTGCAGGTGGTGGGTGGGCAGGTGTAGGCAGCATGGGAATACAGGCAGCGTCGGGATGCAGGCAGGCGCGGGCAGGCAGTGTAAGGATGCAGGCAGGGTGGGTGGGCACAGGCAGGGCTGTGCAGCCAGCTCCCCTGACATCCAGCTGACACCACTGCCATGCAGCCAAACCACTGGCACCCAGCTTGGTGAACTGGGAATGCCTTTGGCACCTATGCCGGCATCCACGTCCTGCCACCCCATGACCACCTCCATCCTGGCACTGCCAGTGACCCCAGATGCCTGTGGCCAAGCTGAGACTGTTAGAGCAGCTGGGGAGGCGACCCAAGGGGTGTCCTGGTGGCCGGGGACACTGCCAGTGAGTATGGCCGCCAGCCCTGGCAGCTACCAGAGGAGCTCTGCTTTAATATTCATGGCAGCACTGGTGGGGAAGCGTTTGACCTTGTATGTTTTGCGATTCTCCTTGAATTGAACAGTCATTTACCCGCTGACACATGTCACGTCACCGCAACCGGTTCCCTGGAGCATCGCGGCGGCCGAGCGCCGGCTGACACACCGAACACCCCGAGCGTCACCGACACCAGGTGGGCGCGAGGGCAGAGCACGGCAAGCACCAGGGTGCCCATCCCTGGGGCTTTCCTCCCTCCCCACCCGGCGGATGCCAGTGGTGCCCTCATCCCCTCCCCGTCACCCACAGCCCACGTAATCCCAGTTTCCCGCTCTCCCTGTGGAGCTAATGGGTTTGTACAGCAATTTCCCTGCACGGCGGCAGCGGGGATAAATTGTATGTCTGCTGCTATTTCAGACCCAAGCACTGTGTGGTGCCACGTCCCCCCTCTCTGTGCTGATCAGCCCCTCCAGCTCTGCATCAGGATCCCCTGTGACAGAGACCCCACTGCTATGCCACCCTGTAGTGCCCACAGTGTGGACAGCAGCCCCCCATGGGGCTCTGTGCAAGCTCTGGACTCCCCCAGCATCCATCATAGCTCACCCCGCTGCGTGACAGAGGAGCATCCAGCTCTCGGAGCACTCCTGGGTCCTGGAGGGGCCTGCCCAGCACGGGCAGGAGTCAGGCAGGGAGAGCAGAGCCACGCTGCCCTCCCAGCTCCTATCTCCCCTTCCCTGCCTGCTGCCAGCGACAGTAATTGAAATCGGTTGCGGGAGGCGAGCGAGAGCTGCTTGTCGGGCTGCTCAGCCATGTCATCCTTCTCGCGGACACCATTCCCTCCCATCGCCGCCTGCTCCCGCCGGAGCCAGCATCCCAGCTGCCTCCAGCACCGGCTCCCTTCCAGCCAACCCCACACTCTGCCCCGTCACCGCTCTTCCTATAGGATGAACCATCCGTTTCTAGAAGCCACCAGGGGCTGATGCCATGACCACATTCCCCCTTGCTGCCATCTCCCAGGGCAGCTGGGGACCACCGGAGCCCGCCCTGTCTGAGCATCACCCCCCATACATGGCCCAGCATCGGCTGATCTGGCATTTCAAGCACCTCTCTCCATTTTCGCAGGGTCAGAGCAGCGTTCTTGCGGCTGATTAATATTTGATCCCTTCAGCACAGCTCGTTACTGCATTTAAATTATATATGTAATAATTCCTACTGGCACAGTGAGCGTGCGGACTGGCTCCTGACGCTTCTCCTGCAGGCTGGGGATCGAGTGCATCCCCAGCCTTGGCCAGTGGGACCCCCCTGGCACCTCGAAAGATGTGATGAGCGTTGCCAGGTCTCAGCACAGGGCAGGCTGGCAGCAAGCCAGGCAGATAGAGGCATCCCCAGCTGCATCTGGCAGGTCCAGGCAGCCCCTTCACCCATCCAAGGATGGTTGTGGTGGGAGCAGTGCTGGTCCTCCAGTTCACCCCATCTCCCTGGCAGCAGGAGGAAGGGATGCTGCTGTTCCAAGCTCCCTGCCTGCGACTGGAGGGAATCCATTACCTCCCTGGTTATAGGCAGCTTTCAGAGGCAATCTTTCAATTGTGCGCATTTAAAGAATTGATTGGAAGCGAAATTATCCTCTCCCGTCAGAGCCACTGGAGACACAACTTCATCCGCTTCCCCTGGGGGCTGTTGGTGCTCCCGGGGGACCCCACAGCTGGGGTCAGCCCCAGCCCCCACCCTGGCATGGGGCTCCATATGGGGAAACAGCCCTAGAGAGCCCCATGCCAGCCTGGGGGTCCCACTGGCAGCACGGGGGGGGGCATCTCCCCACTGCTCCGCACCAGGCCTGGGGGTGCCCTTGTCACGTCCTTGCCCAAGCTTCTTTGCGCCCCATTTTCCCCCACATTCTTGCTGCCCTGGCTCTGCCTGGCAGCCCTGCCTGGCACAGCACCCTGTGCTGAATTCGTTCCCACCACCGCAAACCCACAGGCGATCCCTGCGGCAATCAGGCTCCCGGGGGATGGTGGGGGTGGTTGGCTCAGCCTGCGCCCCACATCCCCGCGGGACAGCCCTGCCCTCCTGCTCTCTGGCTTAAGAGCATTATCCAGATAATCCTGGCCTGGCGGCACGGCAGCGTGGCGGTGACGAACTCCTCCGAGGCATGCAGGGCACGGGCACACGCGCCGTTAATTACTGTAGCAGACGCCTGCCTCCTCCCCCGGCCCCCTCCTCACACCGAGACCCCAGCCTGCACCCACATCCCCAGAGACATCATGCCCCCATAATACATCTTTCCCACGGTGCATCTGGCTGATGTTGGATGCTGTAGCACAGCTCAAGGGGGCACAGACAGGCCTTGCCCCCTGCCACAACCCACACTGCTTCTCATTACCCCCAAGCTGCCAGGACCCCAAATTACAAGGAGCTCCCTTCAGTGTGGCTAAGATAACCCCCTCAAAAAATGTCCGGTCTGCTATGGCTTTGGAGAGTTGAGGAGAGGGGCTTCAGTGGGGCAGGGTGAATGGAGACTTGCCTGGCACCGTACCACCCAGCTACAACAGTGCTGCAGGGGTCAGAGCCCACTCTCTGCTGGAGAAAATCCCTGTGGGCACCAGGGGCTGGTGCTGCCCCATGGCTGGGGGAGGAGAGATGCAGAATCAGACCCTGCATTGCCACCACTCAGAGAGCATCACCAAGCCCCCAGCCTGACTGAGGGGTCCAAGATCCTCCACACCCGTGTCCTCCAGACCCATGGCTCATCCCCATCATGCACCAGCCCATCAATGCCAAGCCAAGGCCACAGTAATACTGAGCATGGTGGTGCTGCATGGAAATTGGGGTGCTCTGTGGAAGCCCTGCCTGATGGGGGACAGGGAGCTGGGGGCTGGGGCCCATGGACAACTCCCATCACATGACAGGGGGCACAGTGTGGACAGGACTCCATGGGTCCCAGCCCTAGGAAAACCTAAGCACCTCCCAGAGTATCCCTACTTCTAAGACTCCGGGAAATGCACATGCGGAGTTTAATTAACTTTATTGATATTCAGAAATTAGGGGACTGACTAGAGGTAATTGCTCATTAGAAATCATTAAACTGACACAGTAAGCACCAACCTCCCTTGGGGGAAACCTGCCCTGCCCAGGGCCCTCCCCCCAGGACAGAGCCAGTGACACAGACCCCCTCCAGTCTCACTGCCCCTCTGACAGGGCAGGAAATGGGGGTGCTGTGGCATTGCCCCACTTGCTGCCCGCATTCACCCCCTCTCACAAGGAAGAAGGCTGTGGCAGCAATCCCAGGCGGCAGAGCGAGCTGGGAATAGCAGCGGGCGCAGGGCCACGGCGCCCTTCCCCGGCTGGGCTCCGCTGCCAGATGGGGAGTTTATGTAACTCCCCGCACGGCTGCTGCCTGCAGCCGGTGCCCGCATCCTGCATCCAGCATCCCGCATCCCACCGGGGCCAGCGGGGCTGGACCATGACCCGCCCATCGCCCTGTGCATGGCCACAGTGGTCCGGGGCACCCCAATCCCTGACAAGTCTCCCCAAGACTCAGAGGGTTCCCAATCCTATTTTTGGGGCAGTGGAGCCATGAGGCATCGAGGTTGCCGGTGCCCCGTGGGGGGCAGAACCAGGGAGCCGAGCTGGGTGTTGGCTGCTCTCCTTGGGAAGGACCAACACCAGCCATCCCCACGTTCCCCACGCCCCTCCCGGAGACGGAGGTGTCACCCCAACAGAGGAGGGGGGGAAAGAGCCAAATGCCCCCGGTGCCCCGCGGTGGGGACTGCACGGAGGGACCGGATCACGGCACAGCCAGACGAAGGGCGGCTCGAAGGGCTCGTTGACCGCGGGCACGGGTCCCGCCGGGCGCTGCCGTGCCTGCCAAGCCCCTGATGCCGCGGTACCCTCCCCATCGCCGGTAATACCGGGGGCGGCGTTGCACCAGCCCGGCTGCAAACCGCTCTGCGCGTCCCCGGTGCGGGTGATGGGGCGGATAACGGGAATGGGGGCGGGGGTG